TGAAAGATAATTAAATCTGTTGAAATTCATAAATGTAACTGATTGAATTCTATCATGATTGAATTAGCAAATCAACATTCAATATGATAGCAAGCATATATTAAATCATTTTTTAAATAAGTCCTTTCTTCAAATTATCATACATAATCAGTTGCTAATCAATTTTACACTTTAATAAAAATCAACAAAATTATAGGTGGAAATATACAACCTTATGTGATTTTCAACTGAAATATTTAAAAGTTAATTTCACAATTATATAATAATTAATGTAGAAAGAAATAATGTAACAATTAAGTACTCAATCCTTCTGGAAGACATTTTATCTTGAGAAGTTAGTAACCTTTTATTTCCTTTTTCTTCTTCCCCTAAAAATCAGGAAACAAGAATACCTGTACTTAACCATGCTAAATACTTTGTTCCATGAAACAATATAACACTCATGTTCTTTTTAGTGAAACAGATACATACAACAAAGCCTGGACTATGTTTAAAACAGCAACTATATTTTTTTTTTAAATCTTCACAAATTGGTGGCCAAAGAATTTTTCAATTAAATATTCACATTAACAATGAAAGTGGCATATGAACACATTTTCTTGGAGGAAATTCCAACAATATGGAGCATACATATTATGCTTTTCATGTGTATTTTATGCAATTCATTTGAACACAGCTTATATATTAATAAACTAAATAATAAACCATTATATATAACAAGTGAATAAATAGTGTTAAGCTTCATACCCACAAGAAACCATTTACACCTACATAAGCACATCCTGGATGAAATTCAACAATTATAGCACTTTTTCTTCTTTATATATATAAATACACTTTAATGGCAAGTGTTTGTATAGAACTTCCTTTTACTCATATCATATAATGTCAATTTTGAATAATATACAAGGGCTCACTACTAAAATATGGACGCATCTCCTTCTGTATCAAATACTTAAAACAGAAAGTTTTTTTCTTTCCAGACTGCGAGGTAGACCTTTATATAAAGGTCACAATTAATATTCCTTCAGATCACCTTGTGAATCACAATTTTCCAAATATCAAGGTCACCGAGTCTCTTGTCCTTGAACTTAAAAAAATTCTGCAACAGATGACTTGTTCCACACAACCATTTCCAGGTCAAGGTCATTATATCTATTTTTAGATATTTTGGAGATATCCGGAGTGTCATATTGTGCAATAATATCTCATATCTCCTCCACGTATGTCGCGGGAAATATCCCAACTCGTCCATGTAATTCTCCCTGCCACCAGCCGTCTAACTGTTTATCATAAACGTTTATTACATCACCTGTAAATAAAAAGAAATATAATAATAATAAATTGTTTAAAGGAAAAAAAAAACAAGAGGCCCATCGGCCACATCGCTCACCTGAGAAGCTTTGACCATTCTGTTCTTTACCAGATTTCCCCCTTCCTATACATAATGCATCCCCACCCTACCCCAATGATCATAATTTAGACATTTTGAAATCTACACTACCCCATGATCCTTCCATGGGCACATATGTTTCAGCTTTTTGGCCCAGTGGTTCCTGAGAAGAAGATTTTCAAAGACTTTTCCTATATATTTTTATGTACAACTTTGATTCCCTATAATGGCCCACCCTTCCCCGGGGGTCATGATTCCTACAATTTAGAATTTACACTAGCCCAGAATGCTTCCACATAAGCTTCACTTTTTCTGGCCCAGTGGTTCTTGAGAAGAAGATTTTTCCTACATATTTCTATATAAAACTTTGATTCCCAATTGTGGCCCCGCCCTTCCCCCGGGGGTCATTATTTGAACAATTTAGAATCTACATTATACCAGGATGCTTCCACATAAGTTTCAGCTTTTCTGGCCCAGTGGTTCTAGAGAAGAAGATTTTCAAAGATTTTTCCTATATATTTCTATGTAAAACTTTGATACCCCATTGTGGCCCCACCCTTCCCCCGGAGGTCATAATTTGAACAATTTAGAATCTACACTATACCAGGATGCTTCCACATAAGTTTCAGCTTTTCAGGCCCAGTGGTTCTTGAGAAGAAGATTTTCAAAGATTTTTCCTATATATTTCTATATAAAATTTTGATACCCCATTGTGGCCTCGCCCTTCCCCCGGGGGTCATGATTTGAACAATTTAGAATCTACATTATACCAGGATACTTCCACCTAAGTTTCAGCTTTACTGGCCCAGTGGTTCTTGAGAAGAAGATTTTTTAATGACCCAACCCTATTTTTGTCTTTTCTTGATTATCTCCCCTTGCGAGGGGATATGTCCCTTCGTTTTAACAATTTAAATTTCCCTTTACCCAAGGATGCTTTGTACCAAGTTTGGTCAAAATTGGCCCAGTGGTTCTTAAGAAGAAGTCAAAAACGTGAAAAGTTTACAGACGGACAGACAGACGGACGGACGGACGACGGACAAAATGTGATCAGAAAAGCTCACTTGAGCCTTCGGCTCAGGTGAGCTAACAATACAGAAGTCATTTACAGTCTGAAATATAAGGAGAAAAAATTCATGAAGAAATAAGGTAATGTATGCTTTTATACTTCTAAAGCTTTAGTACATCCCCCCTCTTGGTACTTCATAGAAATCATGCCATGTTTACAATTAGGCATTTTAAAAAATAGAAATAACTCAAGTCTGACATAGTGAAAATTACCGTATCTAATCGTCAGTTCATCATTCCTATTGGCATCATAATCATAAAGGGCTCGACATCGACCAATCACGTGACTGTCAACAACATCCTCAAATTCGTCATCAGCTGCAAAATAAACGGACTTTTACTCTCTATAATAATACAATCGCAGACCTGTTTACCCTTATCCTTGTCTCTTAGTATTTTTTAATAGATTTGTCTGTGAGATTTGGCATTTACCAGTAAGATTTCACTTTTCATCGATTTTACAAATAGGAATATAGAGAACAACTGTTTTTCTTAATTACTAAAACTTGGTTTATAATCATGATAATCATGGTCTTTGTCATTTTATACCACAGCAATTTTGAAACCCGACATCACTCAATATGTGTTTGAAAACTTTCTCTTTTTTAGCAATTAAAAGGAGTGAAACTGAGACAGATTATAACGAAAACTAAGTCCCAAATTCCAAACTAACATATTTTTCTGTGTCCATATTTCCATAATAGCAAAACATGAGACGTACTTTGAATAAAAATCCGTACAAAATACAGTGAAATTGTGCAGTAAACAGGTCTGCAATCGAAATATTCAGTAATATTTTTAATAACTTTATGTATAAAACAGGTGAAAGGGCCCCTTAATGGCAGAGATTTTATCAATTACATATACAGTGATACTGTACATGTCTTGTATATATATATATGAAATCTTACTGGTATTCATGATTTAGTGCATCCATCTCCATGCCAAAGTCTCAAATCATGAAGCTTATTAAAGTACATATTAGAACCCATTGACAGTGTTCTTTCCAGTAAATAATATTAAATCTTGATTTAATGTCCAAATAAAAAGGATCACTCTATAGTCCGTTTTTAAAAACAAAACGAGGAATTTCCAAAACCCGCAGGCTAAGTTTTTAATTTCAGAGAGAAATATATTGACAAAATTATATTGTATACTATGTGTAAGGGATAAAAATAAAATAAATTGGAAACTAAATTTACCAAATGGTTCCTCGTATGGATCAGACTGTGTTTGATTGGCTAGAGCTCCAACAGTTACCGAGGTAACATCATAGCCGGAATTCCCCTCCAGAGCTATGTTGATTGGTAGACGCAGGACACTGGTCGGAATTCCCTATAAAAATAAACCAAAGACAAGTTATTTAGTTACTAGTCTCAAACCTTTCAAAGAATCTACATTTATAAATTAGTCTGTATCATTACTAAGCTGAAATACCCAATGTACGTACTGTAGATCACTAAATTTTTGTCACACCTTATTTTTGCGAGATAAGTCTTTGATTCTTGATAAGCGAGACAAAATTTTCATGAAGTGTGGTTATTCTCTATATAACTCTAGGAAATACTATTTTACGAGAGAATTAAATTTTCGTGAGCACACTGTCTCATGTAATTATGCGAAAATAAAGTTCTCACGAATAAAAAGAGATTTACAGTATATAACCATGAGTTGTCATGAAAAAGACTGAGATTTGTCAAGATCTTAATCATGATTTGTAAACCTACACTCTGAATTTACATACCAAAGCAGTATCAAAATTGATCATACAAAGTTTCATCCTTGACCTTTTGACTTCTAAATCAAAAATTAAGCACAAATATACTGTAGAAGTCATGGTTTTTCATGGTATTAATTTGCACTATGTAAGTTTTCACAAACTTTCCGTGGAAATTTGTCCCATTGAAATTCATGCACATATAAGGCATATAATGAGAGTCTTAAGATATCCATGCAAAATTTCTACCAGCATATTGCACGGAAACAAAGTTTCCGCTTAATTATGATTTCGTGCATAAAAGTACATCTGCAGCACATATTTTGACACAAATTTGGGAAGATTTACGATCCCTGGGCCTGTTATGAATACTGTATATCCGTTTTTTTTCGCGTGTTGGAAAGATTGAGAAAAAGGGGTAGATTGGTACAGTTTATATTTTGCGTATTAAAGTTATTTTTTATGATTGAAGATTTTTTTGTTTAAAATGGTAATGTTTTAATGTCACACTATAAATAATTCTGCCTGTTTTATATATTGTGAATTATAAATGATCACAAAAATTGTGAAAAATAGATCACTGCGGAAAAAAACGGATATACGGTATTTAGAATAAAAATTTACCTGTTTATCCCTGACTGTTTCTATGTACTTGGCAAACTTATGCTCAAGCTTTGGTTGGCATTCTAGCTTGGCTAACACGGAGGCTATTTTATAATGACTAGCTTCTAGGAAATTCATCATAAACATCACCTAGAAATGGAAACATCAATTGCTTAGAAAAATGAAACCAATTCACAAGTGAGACAGACTACATACATGTTTTACAATTAAAAAAAAAATCCAATGCAAAAAAACCTCAACTGATCTTTTTCAAGGAAGCATAAAATATTATTGTGATACCCTGTTATATTGAACATAGCAAATGTACATATCTAGCAATTATTTAATGGCAAAAAAGACTACATGATCTTAATAACCCTAACCCTAACTCTAACCCTAACCAACCCTAACCCTAACCCTAACCCTAACTAACCCTAACTCTAACCCTAACTTACCCAAACTCTAACCCAAATAACCCTACCCCTAACTAACCTAAACCCTCTAACTCTAGCCCTAATTGATCTTTTTCAAGAAAGCATAAAATATTATTGTGACATCCTGTTATATTGAACATAGCAAATGTACATATCTAGCAATTATTAAAAGCATACATGATCATAATAACCCTAACCCTAACTAACCCTAACCCTAGCTAACCCTAACCAACCCTAACTCTAACTCTAACTAACCCTAACTCTAACTCTAACCCTAACTCTAACCCTAACTATCCCTAACCCTAAACCTAACTAACCCTAACTCTAACCCTAACTAACACAAACTCTAACCCTAACTAACCCTAACTCTAACTCTAGCCCTAACCAATGCTAACCCTAATTTAACCCGAACTCTACCTCCAACCTAGCCCTAGTCCTAACTTTCATCCAACGAAACAGGAAATTTTTGACAACCCATGAACATTGAACCTCAGGAATATTCCACAGTAAATTGAATGTATAATATCAATCATTCAGTGATTACACTGACCTGGCACAATCTTTGTCTGGCATCCTCTTGCGCGTCCTGGTCAGCAAAATTTGGTCGTTCTTTATAAACCCCGACTAATTTCTCCACCCCTGATTAAAATAGAAAATAAAATCATAAACAGAAGAATTAATCTTACCACTTGTACAGTGTATTAGGTTGTTGAAGAAAAAGTTAAAATTATTGCCTGCTCAAATATAACTCCATATAAATGAGTTTGACCTTGAGTCAACTCAAAAAAGGATATTAATCTAAATATGCCATCCATTAATATGTCCAGTGAAAGGGCATAAAAGAATGATTGTCACACACAGTCATCATCCATCATAAACAAATACATAACAAAGAATCAATATGATTCATTACAAAAGTTATTCATAATACCCTAAAAGTTAGAATATAGTTCTAAACTACAGGTAATGAAAATCATTTAAAATTTTCCATATTTAAATCCTGAATTTATGAAGTGTTTGCTGTAACTTTGTTCAACTTCATACCTTCTTTTCCCTTCTTCTCCCGTTCTAGAGACTGTCGTAAATATAGAAGGTAGTTCTGTAAGGCATTCTTTCTCCTCTCTGCATTCATATTGAACTGCAAGTCTTCTGCCTACAAGTAACACAAAAAAACTATAAGATGAGGACAGAACATTTTTAGTGATAGCTTGGACCTTCAGAAGTCCTAGATCATCAAGGATGATGTACGCCATTCGTGTTTAAAAACAACACTATATGAAATAAAAAAAACATCAGAGCAATCAAGACTTGCAATGATATTCATTCTTCTTGTTTGGAATCTCATCATCTTAGAAATTTTGAATTCAGAAGTTATCTTTCTTTGACTTTTCCATGGGACAAAAGAAAGAAAATTTTCCTTAGTCCCCATTGAGATAGATTCAAAACTACAATGTGTCTCAATCACAATGACTAAACAAGGGCACTGCAAGTTGGAGCATCCCCTCATAAAGAGGATATCTATACGTCAAGGCAGCACCAGACAGCAATCCCAATGCAAGTTACATCACTTCTGTTTCATACAAGACATTACCCATGAAAAAAACATAAACCTTGGTAAATATAATTGATGTGATAAGATTGCAGACACGATGAAGATGATAGTTATGATGAGCTAACTGATATAGCGATTGAGTGATATCTGTTCTGAGGGTGCTGGCCAAGTGTTGAATTATGTAGCAGTGTAATAATAACTTGAGTTGACTTATGTAGCAGTGTAATAATAACTTGAGTTGACTTATGTAGCAGTGTAATAATAACTTAAGTTGACTTACAAAGCCGTCTAATAATAACTTGAGTTGACTTACATAGCAGTCTGATAATAACTTGAGTTGACTTACATAGCAGTCTAATAATAACTTGAGTTGACTAACATAGCAGTCTAATAATATCTGTTCTGGGGGAGGGGGGGGGGGTCCCCTGAGTGTTAAATCACTTACGTAGCAGTCTAATAATATCTGTTCTGGGGGGGAGTGTCCCCTGAGTGTTAAATCACTAACAAAGCAGTCTAATAATATCTGTTCTGGGGGTGTCCCCTGAGTGTTAAATCACTTACGTAGCAGTCTAATAATATCTGTTCTGGGGGTGTCCCCTGAGTGTTAATTTACTTAATACATAGCAGTCTAATAATATCTGTTCTGGGGGTGTCCCCTGAGTGTTAATTTACTTACATAGCAGTCTAATAATATCTGTTCTGGGGGTGTCCTCTGAGTGTTAATTTACTTACATAGCAGTCTAATAATATCTGTTCTGGGGTGTCCCCTGAGTGTTAATTTACTTACGTAGCAGTCTAATAATATTTGTTCTGGGGGTGTGCCCTGAGTCCCTCGCTGTTTAGCCACCGCCTTCAAATCCTCCTGGATGTCAACTGATATCACTGACTCGTGTAATTTATCACAACTCTGTAAAGTTCAAACAAAATACTGTAATTATATAGATATCACAGACTCGTGTAATTTATCACAACTCTGTAACGTTCAAACAAAATAATTATATAGATATCACAGACTCGTATAATTTATCACAACTCTGTAACGTTCAAACAAAATAATTATATAGATAACACAGACTCGTGTAATTTATCACAACTCTGTAACCCCATACAAAAAAAAGGTACATATAGGCATACCTTTTTTGTGCCTTTTCTGTGCCTAATGTGTACCTACTATTATAGGTACAGAAAAGGCATACCTATTCTGTACCAAAAATGAACTTAATTTTTTTCTAGTGTACCTAAAATGTACCTAATTTGGACTTTGTCATTTTACAGTGTACCTGAAATGTGCCTACTTTAGACTTTGTCATTTTTCAGTGTACCTAAAATGTACCTAATTTGGACTTTGTCATTTTACAGTGTGCCTGAAATGTGCCTACTTTAGACTTTGTTATTTTTCAGTGTGCCTAGAATGTACCTATTTTGGACTTAGATATTTTCCATCTTACCTACTATGAACTTTGTCATTTTTCAGTGTGCCAGAAATGTACCTATGTTGAACTTAAATATTTTCCAGTGTGCATAATATGTACCTACTTTGGACTCAGTCATTTTTCAAAGTGCCTGAATTTAAATACTTTTTTAGATGACTGGTTCTTTGTATCTGGGTGGGGGTGGGGTGGGGGTGGGGTTGAATTATCATTCAACAATTTGTGCATTTAATTTTTAATAACATTTTACTTCAGATTTCACATCATTATTTCAAGTTCTCAGTATAATATATAGCGGTGTTGTGGAAAGAAAAAATGGGGAGGGGTGATAAGATTGTTACTCTCAAATGCCAAATGTGTAATTATCATTTATTCAATTAATCTTCTTACGGAAAATAAAAGGTAAAGATCCATTTCTGTTCTTAAAATATGCACTAGTTTGTCTTAAAGAGTGTCAGTTCTTAGTAACTTTGATTAACATTCTCTAAGACATAGGGGATTGTCTTATAAAGTTTAACACTACATGTATACAATTATATTGACCATTAACACCCCCCCCCCCCACTACACACACACTTGCTAAATTATTATAATTTTTTTTTTTTACATTTCATTTTATCAAGTTTTTGCATTTATAAAACTAATTCTGCAATACTGTGAAATATGTCAATTAGAGACAGGAAATCACTTTCCGCTTGAACGCATACAATACACAGGTAATCCACAGGAGATCAGGTTTAGTCCATGCACCTAGTGAAGTGGACACAAAGTCATGTAACCAACAGCCAAATCTGCTTAGTTACGATGCTTCTCTGTATTATTCTTGCATAATTATTCTTTAATTTCTTTTGCTCTTTAAACCGATAAACTATTAAGATATAAAACGTTTTAAAAACTAAATACATTTTTTTTCAAAACCAGGTTTGCTAGCAAACCCCTCTAGTTGTAACAGATACAACTTTTTATTATAAATTATCAGTAATGAAATTTATTTGCACATCTCTATGTCCAGCAGAGGTCCCATTACGCGATCACTGCATCTCTCTCTCTCTTTCTCTCTCTCTCTCTCTCTCTCTCGTACATTTTGTAACTACAAAAATGTTTGGGATGTTTAGATTAATTTTATAGGCTGAGAATTTATATCCATTAGACCAGTTACTGGTGTATTTTGAAATAGACTTTGTTTATCTTTGAATGCAAAACGATGTCGATTTCCTCAGGTGTTTATACCGGATGACCTTCACCCTGCAGAAATTGTTCGTGTATCACGTGTAGTTCTCCACAAACATGACAAAACGGTGATTTCATTAGATTTATTCAGCTCAACATGAATGGGTAAAATCGAAAGAATATTAATTACAGAATGAAATAAATAGAGATGCTTTAACTTTTACGGTAGCAGGGATCTATATACTGGTAGTATATAGGTCTCTGCCGGTAGTTGGGCAGTAGCAGTAAAAAAAAAAAGTGTACATTTACAGAAATTTCATACAAATAATAGCCCTCAAGATGCACAAAATACAGGTGCTTATCATTTATAATTATTCACAAACTAGGCATTTATGGATTGTATACCTGTTATAATTTACATGATGTTCCATGTATACAGTCATGCATGTATTTCGATGTTTGTATCACTCTCTGGTGTCAGTTACATTAATTAAGATTTTAGTTGAAATCTAACATGTAAGAAAATTATGAATAATTAAAAAAAAATAGGGGGCCTAATCAATTTGAGAGTGATTTGTTATGTAAACAAACTCAAAATAGTAATGGCGGTCAAGATGGCGGTTCAATTATTTGCCCAAAATAGCCACGCTAAATTTCAAGGATTTCATCGCAATCGGCTTTCAGTTTAAGTTGGGGCTTCATTAAATAATTGTTAAATGTTCATTGTTATAATTATAGATTGTTTACACGAAATATTTTATGAATAATTTAATAAATTATAATAAAATCACGTGACTCCAGCGAAGTCTACGATTGGTCAGTGGAGAGCGCGGACATTTCTGAGACGTTTTGAAAATTTGCCGAGATGAAAGCCTTAAAAAGAAATCGGAGAATTATAGTTCGGTAAGTCTTTATTTTAGTGTAAATTTTCATGCTGCTTGTTGTTAGTGTATTTGTGCACGTAAAGAATGCATTAGAATGTGAATATCAAGTGTAAATTTTACGAAATTCTAGGTAATTGTACCGTAGATTTTTGGTTTGTTTTGATTCAAGATGGCCGTGTAGCCAGTGCTACAGCCTACACATTAAGTGAAGACATATAAATAATAATTATTTTGTTTAACCTGATGTGTAACAATAAGACATAAAAAGTGTTTCACTGTTTCAGAGGCTTTTAAATAAATAATTAACGTGTCAATATCGCGGGAACAGGTTATGTACAGTAGCCTCTGCATGAGCATGGCGATAATAACAAACAGAAATTTAAATGATCAGTATGAAAATTTAATCATTGGCACATGAAATTTGAAATATAAAGTAAAGATCTCTATATAAAAAGGGGGGGGTTCTAACATTTTAAAGTATCAAAATTACAGCATTTATAAAACATAATATAACAAAATTAACTGATTTGAATTTATGTTATAAGTTTACATAAAATCATTTAAACCCCTATCTCTCCACTTGGTTCATGCCAGGGAAAAGGGGGGGGGGGGTTATGACACACATCATTTATTTCAGAGTGACAATGTTTCTGCTTTCAGTATTATATTTAAAAAAAAAATTATGTATACAAATTAGTGTAAACTTTGTTAATAATAATGTCACATAATTTCATGAACAAACTTTCTTTTTCAGCAAAATTCTTGTCCCCTCAGGCCTGTAGTCATTCTAAACTTGGGGGAAATGCATAAAGACTATAACTCTGTCAGTAAGTATGAAATCTAATCTGATTTTTTAAAAAATATAAATATAGTAAAATTAATTACCACTTTTCAAACTCCATTGTAAATTTTAGGAATTTCAGATGGAGATCGTAACAGGGTAAGGGGGGGGGGATGGGTGTCCAAATCACTTTTAATTGATTAAGTATATATACATTTAATAACATAATATATAGTAATACATAATGCAAGTAGGAAGGAAGTTCCAGACTCCCCGGACCCCTCCCCTATAGATTCAGGCATTGGATTTAATATTTTTGAAAATAATTTCAAATTGAAGACTCAAGAGCAACAACTTTTTCAGAATTGAAGGGAATGGCATGAAAGAAGAAAGAAGGAATTGCATGCTACATTCAAATGGAGGATCAGTTTTTATAAGGAGTCCAGATGAAAATCGCAACTGTACAGCAATGAGTATTTACCCTGGTAAAAGGTCTATTACTGTGCAGAAAATTCTTTGGTGCCAATTGGGTAAAAACTCTATGAAAGAAATGAACATTACATGAATTGCATATGCAGCAAGTGAATAATGTGTGGCCAAAAAAAAGGACATGAAATGGAGTATACTTTCAATACTTTTACGGTGTCTTAGTGTATTTAAATTACATTAATTATGTTTTGTATATGCTGAAAAGGTATGTTTTTTTTTCTTGCAAAAAATGATATTAAATATCATTATTTTGTTAAAGGTAACAATATCAATTTTTTTTAAATATAGGAGATTTGTCATATATAGATTCCGTTAATAGAGAGGATTTAAAATAGTTATTTTTCATATATATTTTCATATAGTATCATATAATAAATTTTTACTTGTTTTTACTTGTACCTGATAATTATTGTTACATTCTTCCTTAATATAGTCCTGCCCCATTCACAAGGAATGATAAGTATGTATTTTTTATGTAAGGCCAAAAATTAAAAAAAATTTGATGGAGAAAGAAATTTTTGTGGTTGATTTGTCAACAAAAGCCCATTTTTTGATATGCCTAAAATGTACCTTTTTGTATAGTTATGCAGTGTGCCAATATTGTGCTTTTTTAGTACCTAAAATGTGCCTATTAATGATTTTGGTACAATATAGGTACCTTGTAGGTATACTTTTGGTATACCTCTGGCATACTTTTGGCACAGCCTTGAAGGTACCTAATAGATTGATATGTAGGCACCTTTTAGGTATGCCTGGAATGTACCTACTGGTCTAGTTAGATGGTGTGCCAATATTGTGCTTTTTTAGTACCTAAAATGTGCCTATTAATGATTTTGGTACAATATAGGTACCTTGTAGGTATACTTTTGGTATACCTCTGGCATACTTTTGGCACAGCCTTGAAGGTTCCTAATAGATTGATATGTAGGCACCTTTTAGGTATGCCTGGAATGTACCTACTGGTCTAGTTAGATGGTGTGCCAATATTGTGCTTTTTTAGTACCTAAAATGTGCCTATTAATGATTTTGGTACAATATAGGTACCTTGTAGGTATACTTTTGGTATACCTCTGGCATACTTTTGGCACAACCTTGAAAGTTCCTAATAGATTGATATGTAGGCACCTTTTAGGTATACCTAAAATGTACCTATCTGACTCTTAGAATTATATGCCATACTATGCATAGGCATACTTTAGGTATGCCTCACTGCTCAATCTAATGTTTTATGTGTGCCTAAAATGTACCTATATGTGAAATAGAAAAAAATGAATCATTGAAAAGTATACCTTTAGTATGCCTTTTTTGTACCAATTTGCTACCTATACTTGAAGAAGTGGTTCCAAACTTGTATACTTTAGGTATACCTTTTTTGTGCCTATATTTATCAAGAATAGGCATGCCTAATCTGTACCTTTTTTTGGTATGGGACGTTCAAACAAAATAATTATATAGATAACACAGACTCGTGTAATTTATCACAACTCTGTAACGTTCAAACAAAATAATTATATAGATATCACAGACTCGTGTAATTTATCACAACTCTGTAACGTTCAAACAAAATATTTATATAGATATCACAGACTCGTGTAATTTATCACAACTCTGTAACGTTCAAACAAAATAATTATATAGATAACACAGACTCGTGTAATTTATCACAACTCTGTAACGTTCAAACAAAATAATTATATAGATATCACAGACTCGTGTAATTTATCACAACTCTGTAACGTTCAAACAAAATAATTATATAGATAACACAGACTCGTGTAATTTATCACAACTCTGTAACGTTCAAACAAAATATTTAAATAGATATCACTGATAACAAAAGCTCGTGTAATTTATTACAACTCTCTGTAACTGATATTACATTTTCAGGGTTGGATAACAATTTAAAATTTCACTGGAAAAAAAGTTCCTTTTTTAATTACATCATCATTGATCATTTTTGAAAAAAATTATGTGTTCATGAACTCACGGTTTGTAGGCGAGGTGCCATGACTGACAAGTGACTATTATACTGATTGAGGTAGTCAGCCATCTTGGCTAGTCTTTCTTCATCTAAGGTCTGCAGCTGTGAACTTCCCTGTAAAGTAAAGAACATTGTTGTAAGTAAATAAACAAATTTACTGCAAGAGGTTGAGAGTTGATGTCAGAAAGTGATAGAAAGAGAAGTGGGCAGGGCTAGTATTGAGCACATAAATTTCCAGAATTATGTTTTACAAATATATTAAGGAATATAAGTAGTATTTTGGACTTTACAAAGAAGATCAAGCCATTGGTTTGCATGATAATTTATGCAAATTATGCAAGCCATTCACTTGATCACATAAAAAAAACCAAAAAACTATATAGAGTTAATTCCTTAAGAATTCCAACTCCTGTCATTAAATAACTATTTTTGACTGTGACCTTTGAACTTTACCTTGTTTCTCCCCCAGACCTTTGAACCTCACCTTGTTTCTCCCCCTGACCTTTGAACCTTACCTTGTTTCTCCCCCTGACCTTTGAACCTTACCTTGTTTCTCCCCCAGACCTTTGAACCTTACCTTGTTTCTCCTCCTGACCTTTGAACCTTACCTTGGCAACATTGAACTCCCACTCTTGTCTTGCTGTCTCTGCCTTTTCACATAATTCACAGTAATCCTTGTCAGATTTCCTCAGCTGTTTCCTCATCTGGTCACATTTCTTCTCTATCTAAAAATAAATGTATGTTGGAGTAAAATCAGAATGATTCAAATCAGTCCGTGTTATATTTTTATATTTAAAGAATTCATAGAAAAGATTATGCAAAAGGCTCTAAATTATGGATTCTGCTTAAATATCTACATAAACAAACACTAATCATACTGAATATTACATAATGAAACACTACGATGATTGACAGATATAAACTGATTTGAGAACAAGTGATATTCAGGGCTCGACATTAACGCTTGTCCGCTTGTCCGGTACCAATGAAAAAAAATTACGGACAAGTGAATATTGCTGGGCACTTGTCCATTTGGACAAGTGATTTTTCATGTAAAGAAGTCTTCAAATAATAATAATATTTAAAAACAACAACTATTGAATACTAAGTTTATTGAATAAAAAAGGAAGCAGTACATAAACCCGAATTTCGATCCCGATATCAATCGCTATGTAAGTTCACACTTGATCAGGATCGATGTTCACTAATTGCAGCCATACTATTGCATGGCGTGGATCTTACGACGTTTGCGGGTTTGGAATATATTTGATTGATATTACAGATTCACTTGCGAACATTTATGTTGTTGTCAGGACAGGAAATCTAGATAAAATTTTGTTTTATAAGTGTTTGTCTTATTTATCAATAACAACACTAATAAATCAAGCACGTTTAATTTTTTTATTTAAGTAATTGTTTTCAATATATTCGTTGAAAAATTTTTGGACAAGTGAAGTTAAAGTTCGGACAAGTAAATATCTTGGTCACTTGTCCGAATCGACAAGTAGGAAAAAAAGTTAATGTCGAGCCCTGATATTGACTTTATGTTACATCAGGTAGAAGTTCTGTTTAGCTATGCTACGTCATTACTGCTAGCTAACTGCTAGCAATCAATGCCGATCTGGGCTGTCTGATGCTTAGGATTGTGATGCTTCAATATGTGAATTTTAATGCTGATTTGACTTACTCTGGTGCTAAGAATGTATGTCTCAGATAATGGTCCTTGTTCCATATTTCTCAGACTTAATCAAGGCCATTTACTAATTTTGAGGTTAAAGGTCTTACTTTGTGCTTGTCTTTCTCAGTTTTCCCTTTACTGGTATCCGACCTTAGTTCCTCTCCTTTCTCACTTTCTTTGGCGTGGATATAACATTGCTTCTTAGCCTAGGAAAAAAAAAAACAAGCACTGGTTAATTAAGAAAACATGAAAAATTCTTTTCACTTCAACTGTCACACAATAAATATGGATTGAAAAGTTTCAACCAAACACAATAATAAATTGGCATGCAGGTTGAGCATTACCAACTAAATCTTAAGTAAAAATACTTTCAGAGGCCTCAACATTACTTTAAAATTCCTTGATTAATTTATCTATTTAATAGCCATTCTCTGTAACCACTTAAACTTCGTTGCCACGCATGGTCACCAATTTTGATGAAACTTCACCCATGCTTAGTACTTGACACCAGAAACAAATATCAAACAAAATTTCGTTGCTATGTGTCTCGGTTGCTATGGCAACAGCCAGAAAAGTTTGAAAAATCGAGATTTTCAGCCACTTTAAATCTTGACTGTGGCTTAATGAAAACTAGAAAAAGCAAACAAACCATTCTTGCAAAAACATGACACCTTGATGTCACTTATACTGTAAAGAAACTGTTTAGAATATATCTCTAAGTGAGTGGTAACCAAGGGTACATTTGGAATACATTTAAAATGCTGAAATATGCTGAAAAACACTCCGTATTCACTAATGCTAGGTGTTACATGCTCAAACTCAATCATCGACTTAAGAAAAACATTGAAAATGTTTGACCTTAAGTATATAAGTTTAAGCAATATTATTCTATAAATAACTTTTATGGTTGCCATGGTAACACAGTGTAACCATGCAAACCAAGTAACTAAGATTGGGTTAATGCTACTGTCTTGAGGAAAAACATGAAAATTCAAGACTGTCAAATATGCATCCTTAGGACCTTGCAACACCAAAACCATAAGAAAAATTGGGTATAATCGCTACTTGGCAGTGTTACCATGGAAACAAAGTACCAGTGCTTAAAAGTGAATAATTTTTCGCTGCAGTAAGAATTAAATTGCCATTTAAACAAGAAACAAATTAAAGGACTCAGCTTGAATAGTACTTATCTGTTAGAACTGAAGTTGAATATCATATATTGATAAAATTTGATGAATAAAACAACACTGTTGCTATGGTTACCAAGAAGGGAAAATGTTCGATTTTGTGAACTTTATATCAATATTAAACCCTTTGTGCCAACTTCTTGCATCCACTTAGAGATTGGATGATAGTCAAAATTAAAAGTCAAGTTAGCTGTTAATAAATATCAATCATAAAAGTTTTGGGAATCTACATTTAAGGGTACGTATCCAAGGAAAGAAAATATTTTTCAGCTTTTAAAGCATATATTTTCTGCTTATTTCCATAGCAACGCTCTATTTAAAGAACCTAATCTGAATTTTTTCAAATGGGAAAACTTGGAGCACACCAACATCTTATAAAATTGATCGTTAGTTATGAGGAAATGTGCTTTTTTTTAAAGATAGGATCAGATTTAAACATACAAAGTGTTACTTTGAAGGCTCTCTGTGGTATAAAAACCTTGGCAACCATTGTCAACCAAAATGAAATATCATATTTTGTTCTTGGTATATGTTTCAAGGCTCTTTTTTCTATTATTTGGTCACATTTCCTCCTATAATTGCTTTTTATTTTTACGTGTCTGACTTTATAAAATTCAATGTATATATTTTTTTACTTTTAAATAATTTGTTACCATAGTAACGTATATAGTAGTTGATTTACCAAACATGTTTATCATGCATTTGAGACATCTGACCTTCAACTTTTGGAAACAGTCATTGCCAATTGTTTGCTTTGCCGCAAATGTTAACTATGGGGCTCTAAACATGTTAAAAAATGCCATTTTTCGAAATTTAAGACATGTTGCCATGGTAACTATGAAACATAGCAACCAATTTTTGCCTGATTTCAGTTTAGGGTATCAGTGACTTTTATCATAGAGAGTTTGGAGAAATTCTGAGACTATGCGTGCCACAGCTCCTATATAAAATTTCAAATCATTACAGAGAATGGCTCTTAACACCTATGATCTAAATAATAAATTGACCAGTAAAAAAAAAAAAGCTGAGTAATAAATAAATTGATTTTTCTCCATACCTTGGTTTCTTCTGTTCTTTTGTCTGTTAGGGTCTTTAGACTTTTGTCCACTGTTGCCTCTATCTACAAAATAAGACCTTTTATGACAAAGTTCTTTATATGTGTCTGACCTGCATTTTGCTTCTACTTAATATGAAGATTTTCTAACAAATATTTTTTTTAATTTATCCACGTTAACTCCTTTTCTGGCTTCACAGTGACATTCTGGTTCTATCACCATGATCACTTATTGAATTTCCTGGTTTTCAGTGATAGATTGGTTTTGTCAGAAACGCATACAAGTTATTCCGGTTCTATTACATGTACCCATACATTAACAGGCTTAAAGTGATATTCTGGTTCTGTTACATGTATACCCATACATTTACAGGCTTACAAGTGATATTCTGATTCTGTTACATGTATACCCATACATTTACAGGCTTACAAGTGATATTCTGATTCTGTTACATGTACCCATACATTTACAGGCTTAAAAGTGATATTCTGGTTCTGTTACATGTACCCATACATTTACAGGCTTAAAAGTGATATTCTGGTTCTGTTACATGTATACCCATACATTTACAGGCTTACAAGTGATATTCTGATTCTGTTACATGTACCCATACATTTACAGGCTTAAAAGTGATATTCTGGTTCTGTTACATGTATACCCATACATTTACAGGCTTACAAGTGATATTCTGGTTCTGTTACATGTACCCATACATTTACAGGCTTAAAAGTGATATTCTGGTTCTGTTACATGTACCCATACATTTACAGGCTTACAAGTGATATTCTGGTTCCCTAACTTACTGGTTTTCTGGCCTTGTTCTGGGTTTCCACCAAAGATTTTAATGGTTTACTAATCTCTTCAGCCAATGCCTGACCTAAATTCCTGTAAGAAATAAAAATATTAAACATTCTGCATAAACTAATGCTTTCATTCACCTTCGATACAATTCTCTAGTGATATATATCTTTAGAAATCTTTAGGAACATTATATTGTGAACTTTGACCTCTGACCCTTACTTGTGAAGCTCCGCCTCCTGCTCCATGACACTGGCCACTGACCGCCATCCGTCAGCTAAGGTTCTAATAGACAGCCAAAGGAATTAGTTTACGGGTCTAATAAGATTACAAACTGACTGACAAACAAGCAAACAAAGGGATTAAGAAGGTACAATTGACAAAGAAATAACTTTTTTGTTGCAAATCATTGATATACAATTTATTGCAAATAATATTTTTCTCCGATTGACTCAAACTAGATAATAACAGAATCAAGTATAAAACGTCATACAAGGTTAGGTGTTTCTATTTTAAGCTACTAAAAAATCTTCTGTGAAAGAACAGTACTAAGAATAGTACTGAAGTCACAATAGTCAATACTAGTATTCACTGAATAACGAATTGGTGTTTCTAATACTGTAAATTCCTAACTTAATGCGAGGAAATAATTATCGCGTAATATTGCGAGAAGCATTACTCGCGAATTAAAATTACTCGCTTTTATTTGTAAAATCTCTTGATAAACCAACCATTCTCGGATTATTATTCTCGCGATATGACGTTGAAGAGCCCATTCGCGATAATAAGTACTCACCAAAAATAAGGAATCTACAGTATTAGATACTTCAGCTGGTTTATTGGGATGTCATAACAAAAATATAACTGTTACAATATGATAGATGTATCTTACACACAACCTACTCAAAAATTAAATCACTGAAAAAACTAGAACTGTCCAATTGGGACAAAATACCCCCCGCTGGGTTTTTCAGAAGTAAGTTTTTGCATAATAAAGATATGTATCAAACACGACTTATAAAATTTTTCTTCCAGCGACCTTGAACTTCCCAATTGACCTTGGATCAAGGTCATGACACACCCTTGGGTCATGGGCAATCTTAATGTGAAACGAAAACCTACCAAGTTTATCCATAAGAAAGATATAGACCGGACACGAATTATGAAATTTTTCTTCCAGTGACCTTGAACTTCCCCAAATGACCTTGGGTCAAGGTCATGACACACCCTTGGGTCATGGGCAATCTTTGTATGAAATGAGAACCTACCAAGTTTATCCTTAAGAAAGATATGGACCGGACACGAATTATTAAATTTTTCTACCAGTGACCTTGAACTTCTCCAAATGACCTTGGGTCAAGGTCATGACACACCCTTGGGTCATGGGCAATCTTTATGTGAAATGAAAACCTACCAAGTTTATCCATAAGAAAGATAGAGACCGGACACGAATTATGAAATTTTTCTTCCAGTGACCTTGAACTTCCCCAAATGACCTTGGGTCAAGGTCATGACACACCCTTGGGTCATGGGCAATCTTTGTATGAACTGAGAACCTACCAAGTTTATCCATAAAAGATATGTGTCAAACATGAATTTTGAAATTTTTCTCCCAGTGACCTTGAACTTCCCCAAATGACCTTGGGTCAAGGTCATGACACACCCTTGGGTCATGGGCAATCTTTGTGTGAAATGAGAACCTACCAAGTGTAATCATAAGAAAGATATGGACCGGACACGAATTATGAAATTTTTCTTCCAGTGACCTTGAACTTCCCCAAATGACCTTTGGTCAAGGTCATGAAACACCCTTAGGTTATGAGCAATCTTAGTGTTGAGTAGTAGATTCTAATGTCCCTCTGTAAGAAAGATATGGACCGGACACAATTGCACAGACAGACGGACAGACGGACAGACTGACAGACCGACAGACGGACAGACAGACGGACGGACAGACGGACAAGGTGATTCCTATATACCCCCCCAAACTTCGTTTGCGGGGGGTATAATTAGATGGGAAAAGTACACTTTAACATTGATCACCTGAAATAAGTCGGACTAAATTACAAAAGGACCCCCTAAAATATTACAGTGCTTGAATGGAGTGCTCATATTACAATTATATGTCAAGTGCTTGTGTCAATCTTACATTGTCCTTCGTAACTTACAGCACAGTGCTTAGCTACTGGTGAAGTGCTTTCAAGTGGCCACAATTTATTATGATTATACATCTAAATCCTGGGCCCTGCATGATTTTAGGACTCTTCTTGAATTAGACTAAAGCAAAATTGGATTGTTGGATGTATAAAAATTATTTCCTTATAAATGTAAATCTACACTTAAACAGTCTAATATTTTCTATTGTTTTACTGAGCAGTCCAAAATAATCAATATTAGACAGCTAAGTGGAATATTTGATCTTTATGTTGAGGAGATATATTAGGACCGCTATGATGTTTTATACTTCGCACTGTTTGTGTGATCAGCTATGTCTTGCCAATTATAGCAAATTTGGAAACAAGCACAATTAAGATCTAGATATGTCAAAAAAAGTAAAACACATGTTGTCTTTGAACCCAGTCGATATTAAAATGTATATTATTTGAACTTGTCTGCAAAACTGTGAAAGTCAATTTTGCATGTTTGAGTTGTTGTCAGGTTTTTATTTCCACACAGCTACAGTATAGCCCCCTTGAGTTTTTTGAGACATAAATGTGACTCTTACATGATTTTATACAAAACTGCACACATATCTACTTTGATACATGTACATTTGAACAAACGTATGCCTTACCCTAAATTTCCTGTTGTGGCTTTTACAAGTTTCTGACTGAGTTTGTTGAGATGTTTTGCGTAATTTCCCTCTAGGTCAGCCCTGAAAAACAATGTGATACATAAGGACATGAAAAATAAAACATACCAATCTGTCAGATAACACAATATAATCAAATTTAAATTTTAAATGGATGGGTACATGTCATCTTTACAAGCCAGGGGTTTCTGATCCACTCATCTCCTCATAAACCCTTACTGTGAGACAATCAAGTAGCAGATCAGAAACCCTTGGCTAGGGCAAATGTCAGAGTACCAGTAGTTTTTTTCGAACACGTTGACAAATTGAGGTTCAACAACCCTATGTACACAAATTTTTACTTCTATACTATAATTCTTTTCAAAATAATTTTAAATCAAAATTAAAATGTACACCTAAATTTCAACACATTTTCCATGGCAAAATTTGAGCTTTGTTGTAGAATACTTTTATATTTTGTGTATGTTATTTGTTAATTTATATACTGTATAATCCCTATTAACCACCCTTGCCCCTATAAGCGCCCCCTTAGATCTTTTTCAATTGTCAGGAAATATTAGGACCTCCTGTACAATGATTAAAATCATTTAGAATCATATCAAAAGTCTGGCAAAATTTGAAGAAAGTGAAAATGAAACTTGTCTTTTATCCAATTTGTTGGTGGAAAATGAATCATGTTGCATAATTTGGGTGGATTATCTTCACTGAAAGTAAAGTTACAGACATTATTTTAGTAGTTCTTTGAGTTCATTTTTTTTCCCCAAAAGATTTTTGAAGTTAAAAGGTGACATTAAATGTTATAAAGAGAATACTAAAATAACCGCTTATATAGCATGACATTGTTACAGTATCATTTCATTTTACTCTTTTTCAATTGATGTTAAATGATTTCAAATAGTTTTCTTTGATCAATTGTACTTGTTGACCCTCACATGCACCATATTAAGTATGTAATAAATAGGATTAAGGATGCTTAACTATACTTCAATATTTACTACAAACCTTTCCTGGATAATGGCCGACACTTCCTTACAGAATTCACTCCCTTGTTTGATATACTTCCTTAATTCCTCAAAACCATTCAGACCCTGTAAAAAAAAAAATCAGATCATGACAACATAGCTATTTCTGATGGGAAATAAAAAATAAATAAAATCCTGCCAATTTACGCTCAAAATTTACAGCTGTTCTATTTCAAAAGGGAAGTTCAGAATAATGTGTTCTTCCCAGGATTAAAACGATCGATTCAAATCCATGCATGATATAAATTTCAAAGCAGCTATAGTTCATAATGGCAAGGGATCAACTATCATTTCCCTATATCAATGAAGCTTAACTCTGGCATTTAATATACAACTGTCATTCAGAAAATATAGACAAGCACAGAATTGTGTTGAAACACCATATACTCCTGCTTAACTACATCTGAAAAAAAAATTACTGCAAAAACATGGAAATAAGGAATACACTATTAGA